ATTAATCACAAATGATATGTCCAAAATTTTATGTGATCAAAATAAACCGCTTAATATATAATTTTAACAGATTAAGGATGCTGTGGCTACTCCCAAACCAAATTAAAATTATAAGATCACTAGACAATTATCAATTCTTTGCCTAAACTTTATGTGATTAAAACATAATAATCTTAGGTAGCTGAATATGCCGTAGCTATCCATTAATTAACCAAGATTGAAAACTTAAGAGAGTTCAGTAAATTAAAGATGATATGGCTATTCTTTAATGAACCGAAATCAAATCACATTGGCAAGGAATACTTAAAATTTTGACAAACAGATTATACTAGATTGTGATGGGAAAATCTAAATATACTCCAAGGAAAGGTGGTTAGAGACTAAGTCTCACTGAAAACCAATTCCTTAAATAGAGTATCAATTTAAGGAGACTAGTGGCACAAGATATTTTTAACTCATGGCCATAAAAACTAGTATGTCTCCCCGATTCATATATACTTAATGTATAACTGTTTGGAGGTATGAACCTAAAACTGTAGGGTATATACCAGAAAACTGTAAGGTTCACCTATGATTAAAGCTTAAATGGTGAACTAAATTAGCGGACTAAACGTGCTTAAATTCAGGCACTACCGCAACTAAAGTTTATGCATAAGTCCAACTTAAATAGGAACTAATATAATTTCATCCCAAAATATGCATTGCTAAAGGCATAATAAAATTGCATAATTTAAAACACATAATATTATGCAATGGACAAATATGCACAAAATTAAACATTAAACTCATATATTCCAAATAAATTGCATAACTTAAAGCAATTTACAATATGAGATTTTAAAGTATAAACTTAATATTCAAACACCAATGAATCCAAACCTAAAGAGATCCAACATTTTGAATAATAATGTACTGAATATATACTTTAAAATTTTTAAACTATAAGCCCATGGCAAAATGTTTTAATGCATAAAGATCAAATTCATGAGAAATAACTGAATTTACAAATTCAAACAATATCAAACCAAAAGATATGTTGTCATCTGTAAATTAAAATCTCACAAACTCTAATTGCATAATCAAACTTAATATTATGCACTTAATGTGATCGAATGCATAAAACAATCTAAAAAGTATGAACCAACTAAAGAATATGAATTGACACCAAATATTCATTTATTCATACTTAACCAAATATGCGCAATAAGAACTAAATTCATAATTCAAAGAACTAAATGAATTATGGAATTAATGGCAAAAGTCAATTGCCTAGAAAATGTGTTTTTCCAAAATTACTAAATTGATTCAAAATCACTCTCCATAACCCAGTTGATAATATTATTATTATTAATGGCAAAATTGCAAATAATCAAAATAGCAATAAATAGCCATAATATTATTATCACATTAAGTAGGAGACTAAATATGGAAAAACAACGATTACAGCCGCTAAACTTTATAAACGTTTTCGGATAAAATTTTGAAAACTTAATAAAATTTGAAGTCCGAAAAACCTTAATCTCAAGAAAATTATTTCCTGACTAGAATATCGTCACATAAATTTATTTGGAAACAGTTCAAAGGCACATAACTGAATACCATAACAATATCAATGTTATCACTAATCAATTATTAATAACAATAAATAACATTATAATCACTATTAACATTAATAATAATGACAAACTAAAGTATGGTAATGCACCTTTAAATGTTTCAATTTTTCTAAAAATAAAATATGTGACTAGTCCAAAATAGCGGTTAACTGTAATTGTAGCACCAATTATCAATAACAACCATAAAAGATAATTAATGGCTAACCTTAATGATGCAAATCGCATCTGCCCATTGCGCTAACAACGATGACGATCCACAAGAGAAGAAAAACTCCAGAATTCTCCCAATCTTCATTATCGATGGCAATAAACTCGATGCAGCGTCCAATGGTACATTAAAATTTATTGGTAGGACTTAATTACCAACAATAATAGTCATGTAAAATGAAGTGGTAATCATGCCAATGTACCAAATATAGCATATTACCATGAAATGATAATTATTATGAAAAGTAATTAAATGAGATTAGTCCTTAAATTTAATAACAGTAATTAATAATGCCAATTAATAATAGATACAATAAAGGCAAAACTGTAATTAAGGGATGCCAAATACTAATCTCAATTTACCACATAATAATTAACCATGACTATTATGATACTTAGGGAGACTGAAGTTAAGGTAATAACCAAATTACCATTATACAGACAATATACCAACTATATTGCCTTTGTCCTAAAATTAAAGACTTAATATTATCAAGACCCTAAAAAACTATTGATAGATTAAAAATTTAATCAACTTAAACAATAGTTATAGTTCTTAATGGCCAAAATAACAATTAAATCCTTAAATCCTTAATGTCTCTAAACATGCCGAGACAATAATTATAGCACTTAATCATTCAAATAAGGTTCATAAACTTCAATGACCCAAGTTAATTATAACATGAATAAAAATGGTCTAAGTACTGAAATAGACCCAAAGCTTAATATTATTACAACGATGAATACCAAAATATGGTAGTTAGTAATAATTAAAACTTAATAAACATGTTATAAGGAGCTATAATTATTATTAAAATATCAATCAAAATGGTGGGATCCATACTTTAATGACCCATGATAGGTCCCAAATAGCTTGTTTAAAATAGGTTCTAAAGTCCCAGAGACACATAATACTAAAATGTGCTCAAAATTTAGAGGAAACCAAACAAGCTACTTTAGTAGGTCATAATGCCTAAAATTGACCTACGGATCCAAAATTGAATGATATTTAAGCAAGAATTTATGAGTTAATAATATGCTAAATCCAACCTTAATGCATGCTTTTATGAATGTATAATTATAACAATAATTTATGAATATACGTAGCATGCTTGAATTTGCATATTAATATATTATTAACCCATATATCCTAAATAAATTGCATTACTTAAGGCAATTTAATATATACACTTGAATATTAAATTAAAATTCAAATAGCAAATTTGAAACTTAATATTTGCCTAAAATTGAATGATAATTTAATAATAACAAAAAGAGGAATTAATTTGATCAATTGGCTTGAAGTCCAAATATAATGATGAAAAATCTGAAACAGGCCCCAAATAAACCATATAGGCCCAAAGATTTTTTTAAAAAAATTGGACCAGGTCTGCCCAAAATGGGCCTGACCCGGCCCATGTTTTTATTTCCATCATCATTTTCTTCCTTTAAGCAAAGCAACAAAAAACCCTAGCAGCCATGCGGGACGTCCGAAGCAACAAGGTAGAATGGCAGCCATCCGGAGCCGGTGCTGCCTGGAGGAGGAGGAGGGTGACAGCGACGACGCCGGGAATCCAGCTCCGCCACCGCCATCTCGCCTCTTCGCAGCGCCAACATCCACCGTCGTCCTCACCGTGACGTCGATCCCCAAAGCTCGTCGTAGTCCACGCATGCTTGAAGAGCAGCGATAGCCCGTCACTGGCTTCGCCTGAAGGAGAAGACGAAGCGTGACATCGCCGGGAACCCAGCTTCACCGCACCGTTTTCTCACTGCGACGCCGCCCAAAATCGCGTACACCACTTCTTCACCGGCCACCGTCGTCCACGCACCCTTGGCTCAATGGTGTCGGGTCAACGGCGGTCGAATGGTGACTAAAAACGAACGGAAAAAAATGCACCCATAGCCGTCGCTTTGCCAGTAGCAGTGGCCGGCCAAAATGGTGAGAAAAAACTGAAGCTCCTTTGTTATTACTGTTGCTTCACCTCCAAACAAAAACAGTATGCAAACAATTCCAAACATATATTTTAAAAAATTAAAAGTGCCCTTAATGTTGAAATTAAATCAATGATTCAAAATCAACTAAAATTAATTTTTGGCAGTCTTAAACCAATTACAAATAATACATTCAAAATATACATAATATTCTGCTTAATTATATCAAAAAGATATATTTTCTATGCATATTTTGATGAAATAAAATGAATGTAATTGAAAACCAAAGTATATACAAAACTTAATGTATATGAAACAAATTAATGTTGATCATAGGCAATACAATCAACCAGGCAGAGATTATAAAGGCTCTTGATACCAAATGTTAGAAACCTGACCTCGTATGATAGCGGAAGCGTAGCCGTGTTGATCTCCAGCCATAGTTGATGTTCCTGTTGTGTTGCCTCTTAACGGTAAACCGTTAGCCATGTTTTGCCTCGGACCTGACTCAGAACCCTAGATGGTGTATTGGTGTCTACTGAGCAGTCTGAGTACCGTAACTGAATGTGCTAACATCAATCATCCTGTATCCCATCAATCCAGGATTATATTAGGCACAGAGTCTGGTTGACTAATAACTACTAGTTATTAAGTCCAACCAGACTACTTAATAAGCCTAGTCAACTTGCACCACTTAATTAAGGCCCTAATATATAATATATAATCTATATTATTAGGGAAAATCTTACATTCTATTCATAAGAAGATTTATTTAAATAGCATAGAATATTTATTCAAAATGCACACAAGCACTTAAAAGTATGAAAAAAAAAACTGTCGCGGCCAATCCACGATTATTACATAAAAACGAGGATAGAAAGAAAAGAAAGATCATTCTTGATCTTCATAATCTTCAAGCTCATACTTCATGAGGTCATCATCATCAGCATTATCAAGTGTGTTTGCTTCTGGTAACGCAACATGGTGGAACTCATCTTTAGGTCGCGTTTTGTCCCTCTTAATTATTTGCTGATATGCCTCAACCAAGTGCTTCGGGGTGCGACATGTACGTGACCAATGTCCTGTGCACCCACATCTATAGCAAGCTTGCTGCTGCCCGGAATAATTGTTGGATGAGCTTGGTTGTTCCTGATTTTTCGGCTGCCTTTGCTTGTTGCGGGAGTTATGATTCTTATTGCATCCATGTCTTCCTCCACGACTTGGAACCCTTCCATGACCTCTTCCTCATCCTCTACCTTGGTTCCCCCTAATGTTGCTCGACTGGGCAACATGGTGTGCTTCAAGCACTGGTGCAGAGCCAACAGAGCGTGCATTATGGTTTCGCATTAACAACTGGTTATGCTTCTCAGCTACTAGGAGGGCGGAAATCAGCTCAACATGCTGGGTATAGTTTTTGGCCCTGTACTGTTGCTGGAGTACAAGATTACTAGCATGAAATGTGGACAAAGTCTTTTCGATCAGGTCTTTGTCAGAAACTTCTTGTTTACAGAGTTTGAGTTGTGACACAATTTTATGTAATGCCAAATTATATTCAATGGCAGACTTATAGTCTTGGAACCTCAAATTCAGCCAGTCATATTGTGCATGGGGGAAGACAAACGATATTTGTTGATCAAAGCGGTCCTTGAGGGATTTCCATAAAATGTAGGGGTCCTTTTCAGTATGATATTCATTCTTAAGATCATGATTAAGATGACGGCGAAGGAAGATGAGTGCTTTGGCCTTCTGGGCCGCATTACTTGTGGAATCAGCAATAATAGTATCTTGTGGCAATTTATATCCTACACCACAGCGCGCGTTGCACTGTGCGCCCAGATGCAAAACGACGTCATTTTATTTTTTTTTTATTTTTTATTTTTTTTTGAAATTTCCCGCCCCAGTGAATGACAGTTATTTTTTCTTTTAAAAAAACCCCTGTTCAAAAATGTATATAATGTTATACTAGAATACACATAATTGTATTCATGAATTTACATAATTATATAAAAAAAAATACATACTCTTTTTAAAAGATAATACACATAATCTAACATAATACATAATAAACATAAACTTTTAACATAATACACATCAACTCTTAACATAATACACACAAATTTTCTTATTCTGATGTACATAATTGTATAAAAAGAATGTACATAATTGTATAAAAACTGTACATAATTGTATGAACAAATATACATAATTGTATGAACAAATATACATAATTGTGTGAACAAATATACATAATCACAGTAACTTCCTACTGCGCCTCCCAAAACGACCCCAAAAAGACGTCGTTTTAGGAGGCGCGCGACGCACAATGCTACGCGCACCGTGGTGTAGGGTATAACGATTGGTATCTTGTAGCTTAGTTGATGCGAGATAGATCTCAACATCAAGAACCCAAGTTAAATAATTACTCCCATCTAAGGCTAGTTCGGTAAATTCACGCTTGGTTAGTGCAGCCATAGTCTACAAAAATATTAGGAATATTTTGTTATTGCAAAATTGGCCCATGCACAAGTTGAGAGAGAAGAAAAATAATATGCCTAATTGATTTGTGGATCAACTTAGTCAAGAAATAGTCTAGAGAATTTGTCAATCCTAATTAACAAACAGATTAAACCAAAAAATTATAGACAATCCTTAGGTATACTTCCAGGAAAGTTGGTCAAGACGAAACTTGGTTAAATACCAACTCCTTAGACAGAGTAGTGTCACAAGGGGACTAGTAGCAACAAGGCGTTTAAGCTAGGGCCATAGAACTAGTATTCGTCCCCAAAAAACTTTCCTAATTTATGCGTTCTCATATGTGAAGTAAAATCGTTTGAGAGATCTAAAGATTCGCCTACGGATAAGGCTTTGAATAGGGTAAACTATGAATATTTATTTACTTATGTGCTTTTTAAGAACTTTATAAGAACGCGAGTGGAGTAACAGAGAATATGCGTAATCTAACCTTAAAAGGCACTAAATTCACCTAAAAGGATCTAAATCATGCATAGTAAGCAATCAATTCAAACCTAAAAGGCTCTAAATTTATTCCTAATGAACATGTTTTTCTAAAGACATAATTATAACAGTCGAATAATTATTCCATTAAAGAAACATATAGCATGCTCAGATTATGCATATTACTCATTAATACTCCAATACACTACACAGGATATAATTACAGATTAAACGCACATATACGAAGTCATGCAACCACACATCTTAGGCTAATGTATGCATACGTAAACTTTTAAACAATGCATCAATAAACCTCATATATATGTATCCACGTGCCAATCAATATTTAAGGCAAATCTATGCTTTCAAGCCAATGTATACACAGTATAAAAAGTCATGAATCAACTAGCAAGGCACAATAAACAACTTTCACGTACAACATCATAAATACATAGGGATGGCAACTGGGCGGAGCGAGGGCAGGGAGTCCCCGCTACCCCGTCCCCATCCCCGACGGGGAATTGAAAATATTCCCCATCCCCGTCCCCGTGGGGAATTAGGCGGGGACGGGGATTCCCCATTCCCCGTTAATTTTTTGTTAAAATGTTAAATAATTTTAAATTTTAATAATAAAAATTTTAAAATATAAATCCTAATTTCAAAAATTAAAATAGAATATATATATATATATATATATATATATATATATATATATATATATATATATATAGTTAATTACATATATAAATATAGTACACTGTTAGTATTGCACTTATGCTAACAGTGTACTAATCCTTTAAAAAAAACAGTGTACTATATTTATATATGTAATTATACTAACAACGTATTATATTTATATATGTAATTAACTATATATATATATATATATATATATATATATATATATATATATATATATATATATATATATATATATATATATATATATTTATTCGGGGACAGGGCAGGGAGGGTTGTCCCCGCCGTCCCCGTCCCCGAAAATTTTTCCCATCCCCGTCTCTTTCGGGATGGGGATCCGGGATCCCCATTGGGGACGGGACACATTGCCATCCCTAAATACAAAATCAAATACTTAAAATTTACCGTTTACCGGGGTTGAGCGTGCTGATAACGCGTTGAATTGCAGGTTTGTCTGCAAGCCTTTAGCTCGTGGAGAACAGTAATAAAGAGTAATAATAGCAAGAAGAAGAATAAAGAACAGAGAAAAGTAATTCTTATTATCATCCAGTGAATGAACTCTGTACAACATTACAATGGTATATATAGCATCTCTATCATAATAGCCTTCAGGTCTCTTACAGAATTAGGACTCCTACAGTATTAAGAATCCTATCATCAATAAAATAATGTCCACATAAGGTTTTACAACATTATTGAAATTATTAAATCGAGCTGTAAGCAAATTGTGTTGGCATATTACTGTTGAAAAGGATTATATGAGCCCGACTGGGACCACCCGAGTTTAACCAATATGAAGCAGTCGCCACTGACCAAATCAGGACCACTTCCCCGCCTCTAGACTAGATATAACTAGGACAATTATTCTACAATCTGAAAAGTAAATATTTCACTTTACAATCCCCTTAAACCCACCTCCCGACCCTATGAATAGTACTCAAATCATGTCTCGTCACATTTTCAGTTTCTTTAAGGCACTTGGCATAGCCACCCTCACCGACGAACCCCCACCTAGCATGTGCAAGACATGTCAGGGCTTCAACATGTGCCCCTAAGATTGGCAATATAAGACAGATTTATTGCTCATGGGAGGGGACTTTTGACACCTCAAATCACCCTGAACACTTCTGACCTTACCACTATCATTCACCGATCTTGTAACCTTTCAGGAAAGGAGGCCTTCCCACCCGATCTTAGGGTCATAAGACAACAAGGATACATACCAACCATACATTGTGAAATTTACCATATCAACTATCATCATAGAATTACAAAGAAATTTTGAAAAGAAATTGAATTGTAGATAAAATTTTAGTGTTAGGGGTATATATGTGTGTGTGTGTGTGTGTGTGTGTGTGAGAGAGAGAGAGAGAGAGAGAGAGAGAGAGAGAGAGATCAAATGCTTACTATTATGCCAAAACTTATAGCTAGTAGTGAGGTGCAACTTTATTTCATTATACAGTTGTACCGGACAGGGTACTGGACTTGACCATTCAAGCCTTCGCTCAACAATCCGCATAGCCACATAGTGCAAGATTTGACTCTTCATTAACTTCCGCTCAACCAGATAATAATAATAATAATAATAATAATAATAATAATAATAATAATAATAATAATAATAATAATAATAATAATAATAATAATAATAATAATAATAATAATAACAATAATAATAACAATAATAATAATAATAATAAAAATAATAACAATAATAACAATAATAAGAATAATAATAATAATAATAATAATAATAATAATAATAATAATAATAATAATAATAATAGTAATAGTAATAGTAATAATAATAATAATAATAATAATAATAATAGTAATAGTAATAGTAATAATAATAGTAATAGTAATAATAATAATGATAAAAATAATAGTAATAATAATAATAATAATAATAATAATAATAGTAATAATAATAATAATAATGATAATAATAATAGTAATAATAATAATAATAATAATAATAATAATAATAATAATAATAATAATAATAATAATAATAATAATAATAATAAGAACAACAACAACAACAACAACAATCAACAACAACAACGACAACGACAACGACAACGACAACGACAACGACAACGACAACGACAACGACAACGACAACGACAACGACAACGACAACGACAACGACAACAACAATAATAACAATAACAATAACAATAACAATAACAATAACAATAATAATAATAATAATAATAATAATAATAATAATAATAATAATAATAATAATAATAATAATAATAATAATAATAATAATAATAATAATAATAATAATAATAATAATAATGCCTTAAAGGTCAAGTGACCGTTGAGGGAAAAAAAAAAAAAAACAAATAAAACAATCATTAACGACTAGTCGTTTTGTTTTGTTTGTTTTTTTTTTCACTAACTGGTGTGTACATGCACACATACACGTTATTGTTGCATGCCTACACACACCGCGCACACAAAATATTTATTTTTTGAGTAAATACCACCTATGGTCCCTCGAGTTTGGTGGCATCGCCATTAATGGTCCCTAACTTTCGTAATTACCGGGTGTCATCCTCCAAGTTGCGAAAAGTGGCCTTCAAGGGTCCTACCGTTAATTGTTCCCGCCTGAGACGTCAAAATGGAGGGCAAAAGAGTCATTTGACTTTATGCGAACATTTTAATGCCTTTTACAATTATTTAACCGAGCTCTCATTTGTTTCCAAGCTCTCATCATCCGAACGACCAAACCCTAATCTTCAGAGCCGTTCATCTTCTTCATCTTTTTCAAGTAATTTCATGAGCAACAATGTCATCTTCTTCAAGTACTTCAAGGAGGAGATATAATTTTGGAGATTCCATACACAGTCATGAGTGTCAGTGCGAGAATCAAGTGGTGCTTCGAACGTCTTGGACAGGTCGCAATCCGGGTAGGAAGTTTTGGCAATGCTCTGAATCCGGTCAGGTAATCTTAGAATTTGTAATATCGAATTTATAAATTTTTGAATTCAGTTTCATTTTTCCAGATTTGAATTTTATAAATTCAATTTTGTTTTTTTTTTTTTTGTGGTTTTAGGGAGGTAACGGTTGTGGTTTCTTTGATTGGGCAGATCCTCCAATGTGTTCACGAGCAATCAGTATAATACCCGGACTTTTGAAGAGGATAAATATAGACAAAGAAGAGATGGAGAAGTTAAAGGCTATGCTAGAAGTTGCTACTAAGACAAATGTAGTCCTGTCTATGAAATATAAATGTTGCAAATTCGCAATTGTAATCATCTTTGCAATTGGATTCGTAGTTCATGTGTTTAGCAAATGTAGTTCTCAATCAATCGCAGTTGTCAAAATGCTTCCAGGCAATTAATGTTGTAACCTGATTTAGACTATTTGATGAAATGTGTTTGAAGTCTGTTTAGTTAAGCACCATGTTATTGTAGTGTCTTTGTTGTCTGTATAGGTAAGCACAATGGTATTGAAGTGTGTTTGGAGTGTGTTTAGTCAAGAAACCTTAACAATAAGTTAAGCACAATAGGACAATAAAAGCCAATTGAGCAACCATTTCATTTGTGCCAAAGTAACATACAATTGTGCCAAAATAAGAGTTTACTGGTCAAAGACTTAACTGCCAAAGTTACTGCTATACAAAAAAGAGTAACATACAACTTTCTTGTTTAACTGATTCAGCAGTTTTGGCTACCAAAAAAAAAACATAACTTAAACATTACTGTTAATCAATGCTTATAGGATCATCACTTGTGTTTTTGAATTTTGATTTCATCTTGCCACGAGTGTTATATTTCATTCCTTGACTTGCATTGGCTTGCAGCTTCTTCTTTGTTGGTTGACTCACTTGTTGGCTATCTTCTTCTTCTCCAAGAGTTGGTGGCTGACTTGTAATTGGTATTTCCTCAGCATTCACTTGTGGTTGCAATGTTTGGTTTTGAAGCACTTGAGACACCACTGCATCAATATCAATGTTTGCCAACCAATTATCATCTTCATCTTCAAGTGTTGCATCAGGTAGTGTAGGAACCACCATTTGGCTTGTTTCTTGTGCAGTTTCAGACTGTGTAGCTTCAGTGTTTGTAGGTTTCTTAGCCTTTACCCTAACTCTTTTCTTTGGATTGGCCTATGACCGAAATATCACAGCAGGATCATAACTAAATTTAAGCTATAAGAAAATTTAAAACAGGTTATAAGCTATAAGAAAATTGAAAGGCATAACACTTACCAATCTCTCCCTAATAGCAGGATCTTCAGGGCATTTTCTTTTGTTGTGGCCTTCCTTCTTGCATTTGGTACAATGCATCTTCACATGGCTCCTTTTCAAATGGATACCATCATTGGAGACCTCATCACCTGCCTTCTTTTTCCCAGATTTGGATACCTCAGCAACCCCCTTATCTTTCCCAGATGTGGATATCTCATCAATTCCCTTGTTTCTTGATTTTTTGGGTCTTCCTGCCTTGGTAGTGTATACAGGTGGAAGAGGTGGCTTTCTATCAGTTTCAGGCCACTTAGTAGGACCTGCCATAGGCTTGATGCTTCCTCCATAGGACCTCAAGTATGTTTGTGTGAAATAACATTGGTGGACATAGTCATTGACTAGACCCTTACCATGCTTCATCCAAATGGCACTTATAGCATGTCTACAAGGAATACCAGTCAAGTCACAACTCCTACAAGTACATGTAATTCTACCCAAGTCTACTTCATGCTGTTCAAATTCACTATAAATCACCCCACGTGTCTCAAACAAGTTGTCATCACTCTGTATGACTGTATACCCATTGGCTTGTTTTTCATACTGAGCTATTTTCTTCACAATCCTAGGGCATATAGGGCCAGTCCATTTCCATGCCTCTTTCCTACACTAATACAGCCTATGCATAATTTTCTTCCTCAATGTTTCAAGGCAGCTAATTAAAGGCTTCTCTCTAGCATCTAAAATAACATAATTATAACACTCACAAATGTTATTTACCAAGATATCACAATGTGCATTTGTATTAAAATGTGACATGGACCACTCTGAAGGGTGTTTTTCAACTAGCCATTCATATGCCTAGGAGTCAATGGTCTTCATCTTCTTCATTGCAGCTGTGAAGGTGTTAACTGTTGTGGCCCTAGCAGCATCCCATAAACCATCTTTAATTGCCTTTCCAGTGAAGCCAGCTAGTTTCATGTTCCCATGTAAATGTCTCACACAGAATCTGTGAGTCACAGCTGGAAGAACTTCATCAAATGTAGGGAGTAAACCCTTTTGCTTATCTGCAAAACAAATGGTAAACAGTTAGAAATAAATGAATGCAAAACAAATGGTAAACAGTTAGAAATAAATGAATGCAAAACAAATGGTAAGCTTTTAAAACTATAAGATATGAATGTTAATTCCAGTTCACATACCTGAAATAAATGTTAATTCCAGTTCATCAGCAGCAGTTATTGCAAGATCTGACTTAAGATGTTGTAAAAACCAAATCCAACTTTCCTTATTCTCTCCTTCAACATGTGCATACGCAAGAGGAAACACACTATCATTTCCATCCACTCCAATAGCTAACAACAACTGACCCCCATGCAATCCCTTCAAATGACACCCATCCACTCCAATAATAGGCCTATAGTACTTATAGCCTATTTTACATGCTTCCCAGCACATGTAAAATCTTTTGAACCTTCTATTGCCATCATCTAGTTTATCACCCAACTTCACATGGTATTTGCTACCTGGATTAATCCTGTCAATCTCCAAGCAGTAAATCCATAGTTTATTAAAGCATTTTTCTTCTTCACCATAAATGGCAGCCCTTGCTTTCCTCATTGCCCTCCATGCTTGCCTTCTCGATATTGAGATTCCATCAGTAGTTGACACCTTTTTAAGGAATTCAGATGCTATCCAGTTGGAGTTTGATGCAACCTCATTCTTCCACCTTTTTGCAATAGTAGTTGAGTTAGCCATGTAGTTTATGTTATTCCAACAACAGCCATCATGCTTGTCATTGATTGCTGTTATCCTTTAGTCATTTTCTAATGCTTGTTTCCTTAGTGTAATCCTCCAAGGACATTTAGTTTCATTGCACTCAACAATGCACCTAACCTTATCATTTTTTATGTACAGAATTTCCTTTCCTTTATTCATTGCATAATTATAAATTGCCTCCTTAAATTCTACCTTAGAACCAAATGTTAATCCAAGACAGAATGTAAGTGTTGCCATCTCAATTTTCCCTTTAAACATTGGCAGTTGATATTCTTTTTCCTCTTCATTATCACTGTCATTCTCACTGCCCTCATCTGAAAATTTTATCTCCAAATCTTCATTAACTTGAACTGCCAAAGTAGTTCCAGCATCATCTAAGCCACCAAACTCAGCAGTTGGATCAACAAATTGCTCAAACTCTATGTCATCTAAATCCACGGAACTTTGAACAAAATCAGCATCCTCCTCACTTTCCCATTCACAATCACTTTCAGGATCAGCATCCTCAACACCCTCAGCACCATCATCACTTTCAGCACACTCAGCATCCTCATCACCCTCATGCACAACCCAAATCTCTATTTCATTATGCACATCTATTACTTTGACTGAATCCCATACTTCACAATCTGAAACTAACTGTATCAACCCATTTGATAGATTCACAAACATCTTCATGCTATCTATTATTTCATAACCCAAACCCTTAACCTTATCTCTAAGTGTGAACAATCTCACTCATTCACATCAATGTTAGAGAAACTACTAATCTGCCCTCCAACATAACTTGCATTATGAGTTTTATTTATCCTACCACCATGCCTTAAATGTAAAGTTTTCCCAGATTACATTATTATAATATTAGGTCAACCTTATAATAATTAAGGTAATCTGTTATGTGGTGCAATTCTTCCATACATACTCCTATCAATTAAGGTAATGATTGATTGTAAAAGATAAGGAGTGTGATTAGGAATGGATTCAGTTACCATATTGATGGCATATGGTTATTATATAAAGAGCCCTCTAGTCCTGTCACTGCTTGACATTCATTCCTCATACACCATCCAGAGAGGGTTGAGAAAGTGAGAAACATATACTGTTACTCTGCAGCAGTCGCGTGACTACTAAATCATCATCAATCGGAAGCTATGGCTGGAGGTTAGTACTTAGTACTTTAATAAGATCCTATCACGTATTTATGTTCCTACGTGAGTTTATATGCTTACAGTTGGTATCAGTTGCTTGTATAATCTCTGCCTAGCCTTAAGTATTTTAATTGCATATGTTGTATATATCTTGACATGTATATTTGTATATGCAATTGTATGTGTGGACTGCTGAAAATAATTTTCTGCATTAAAGTTTTAAAAAAAATTAAAATTGGATAATTTTTTTTTGCTTGATGCTGCTTCGCCGTTCTCTTTGGATCTCCGGTCTCCGGCCACATCGCCAGTGACCTTTCGTTGATGGTAGAAGACAACGGTTTATCAAAACAAAAAAAAAATGTTTTACTCTTATCGTTTTCTTCCTTCAAGTCTACCGTCAACAATAGAGCCTTAGTTTTCCGGTGATGGAGACGGATCGACTGTGATGAAGGCACGACCTTAAGGAATGTCGTATCCTGTACGTCGTCGGTTGGCGTTGCGTTACAGCCAAAATGCTTCCGGCGACGTTGCTGCCATCTGCTTCCCTATTGGCGACGCCGGCGACGTTTTAGGCTGCTGGTTCGTCCTTCGCATGCGCGTTGCTGGTCTTCTGGTCTATGGCTGTTGTACAGCGCAGCTGGTAGATGAAGAAGATGATGAATGGAGAAGGATTTAATGGTTTGGGCCGGGTCTGGCCTAATTCGGCCAGACCTAGGCCTCTACTAAAAAAAAAAAAATTATTAAATCTGGGCCTGTTTGGTTTGGGCTTGCTTAAGCATTATTTGTTCATCATATTTAGACTTCTTGTTATTAAAATTGTCCAATTGATTTTGCCTAAAGTCAATATTAAATTATATTTAATTTTTTTGAACAAATTATTAAGTGTTGAATTTGTTTGGATATTAATTTAATATTGAATTTTCAGTTTTAAATTGTATTAAGTTTTACAATTTATTTATGGAGTATGAATAATTGATATGCATCATCTAAGCATGTCTTATATGTTCATTGCCATAATTATTTTCCTGTAATAATTATGCCTTTAGAAATGCATGTTCTTTAAGGACTAATTTAGATCCTTTTAGGTATGATTAAAATGCCTTTTATTCATGATTTAGTGCCTTTTAGGTGAATTAGTGCCTTTTAAGGATAGATTGCGCATATCATGATTTACTCCTCAATTATTACTCCATTCGTGCTTTCTTAAAGTTCTTAATGCACATAAAGTACATAAAATTATAGTTTACCCTATTTAAAGCCTTATCCAATCTTATAGATCTCACAAACAATTTTACTTCAAACATGAGAACACATGACTTAGGAAAGTTTCTTGGGGAGGAATACTAGTTCTATGGCCCTGGCTTAAAAGCCTTGTTGCTACTAGTCCCCTTGCGACGCTACTCTGTCTAAGGAGTTGTTATTTAACTGAGTTTCATCTCGACTAACTTTCCTGGGAGTATACCTAATGATTGTCTATCATGTGTTGGTTTAATATGTTTGCTAGGCTTTAAATTCTCGTTTTGCCAAGTGATTACAACTTTTGTAATTAAAGAGTAGCCACAACATCTTTAATTGCCTAAATTGTCTTTTAGATTAAATCACATTGAGAACATGCAATACCTTTATAATTCATTCTACGTAATATTGCAAGATTTAGCCCACGGGCAATTTTGTTGTATTTGTAGGATGAATTAGGATTAAATACTAAACTATGATCATAATTTGCCCACGTGGATTATGAATCGGCATATAGTTTGGTAGTTTTATCATTAAGGGTGGAAAAACCAAACCAAATTCCGTACCCATTCTGTTTCCACTATTCAGCCATGATAGATTTATTTTGCGTAAAAATTTAGCCCACAGATAATTTTTATGACATTCAAGTCTATCTCTTGCATAACTTACATTGGTAATAATATGCACTTCAGTCTTTCTCTATCTTTGTGCCTCGAAAAATCTAACCAAGCTTTTATTATACTTTACAGAACCTCAAATCCCAACTCAAAAGACAATAATGATTGACGTTCCTATGTTAAGTGATGATAATCACCAAGAATGGAAAGACGTTGTTCTCCTACACTTAGGGTTGTTAGAGATGGATTTCGCTATTCACAATAACGAGCCTGCTCCTATCACTAATTATAGCTCTGAGGCTGATAAGAAATTTCATTCACAATGGATTAGATCTAATCGGTTGTGTGTGTACTTCATTAAGACACGAATCCCAAGAAACATTCGTGGGTCAATTGACCATTGTGA